TGGCGCGGTTTCGCGTGAGAAGAAATGGGACTCCCTTTGGGAGGATATTGTATTCTGTACAGAACTATTGGAGAAGAAATTGAAAGAAGTTAGGGGCCAGACGAGTGCAAGTCCGGAACCACGAGGATGACGTTCGAAGTGTGAGACCATGTGGAGTCGTCACAGCGTCTTCGCGAGGTCGTGTATAAATCAGCCTTGAAGATAATTGGTCTGTTAGGACAGCCGGGATTGGCCGCCTCTGATACCCACGTACAAGTAGTCGCGAGGTGTCTAACGTTGCAATATGCGCCTTGAGTTGGACCACTACAACTGCAGGTAAAATCTGCTAGATCTGCGACATAGGGCCACTTCTATCCTTGAACATCTGCCTGTGAACTGCAGACTACATAAGACGGAGCCGTTTGATGCCTGAGAGCATCGTTGCACCTTTTTAATACTCATGGCAGACTATTTTTTTTAATTTTAGACTGTTCAGGTGGATGAACTGGTTGCCCATCGATGCTACAAACGCGTCTAACCGTCGTCTCAGCCCGTGGCTCAAAATAAACCACAATATATACCTTCATTTAAACATTAATAAACCCAAGTAGTGGATCCCGACCATACATACATCTTCTTTAAAAATTTCCTATTAAGGGGGACAATAAAACTTTTACGACCTGCGCCTGGTAATTGTAATTACTACAATCTGTGGGATTGCCCGACTGTTGGTGCCAAAGCCAGCACGGAAAGAAGAAGGAAATCGAACACGAGGAGAGTTGATTTACAAAACGACAAGTCATGGTCACAAAAAGGCTACATATATTTATCGATCCACTTGATGAGAAAGTGTTGGAGACCTGGACCAATCAGATCTGACGCGAGATTGATAACCACGGTCCAGGTGGACGCTCGCATGGCAGCAGCGTGGCAGCTCACGCAGACGCCTCTCTGTGCGACAACTCATTATGAGAATGGAGGCATTTCCAACAAAAAAGTTCACAGAAAGTGCTCAGATGCATAGCATACAAAACAACCGCTACCTAGACGCTAAAAGCCTATGTGCCCTTTTGGACAAATTCGCCTCGGGCCAGTACATTTATAAGAGAACAGGCTCAAAGGTAAACCATGTGATAAATAAGCGAAATCGAGTAAATTCCGTCCTTTCTCACGGGTGAGGTGTATGCAAAGCAGGGAAGGATAATAAGACACGGCGAGGGTGCAGTAGACGGTGGTGAGAAGAATTGCCAACAGGTAATCGACCTTTGAACACTTTAAAAGTGGAGTTTGCAAGAAGTTTTTCTGTGTACACAAAACGGGCTTCCGCAACCTGATGGCAGTGGCTTCTGTTGTTGCTAGCAGAGGCTGACCCAGTGGCTTAACACTTTGACTGCGACGTGCGCCATATGTGGTACATGCAATGATGTCCCAAACTGCGACGTGCGCCATATATGGTACACGTCTAGGCCTAAAGTAATGCAGGTTTAAAAAAACGTCACCCCAGGGGCAAACAGACTATTTTGAGAGTCGCAGTCAAAGTGTTAAGGTAGTTCTCTGAGACTGTATAGATCAGGGAAGGTTTCTTTGGGGTCCCCACGGTGTCCGGAATCAACAATATGTGCAAGAATGGTGCTGTTCATGCTTATAAATTTGACTTGCCCCGGAAGGTGTTTTCGTATTCTTTTGGATTGCTGCCAATTCCTGTAACCAACATGATCCACTCCACTGTTACAATTAAAGACGTAGGTGCCCATGGAGATGGTCTGAGCTGGCAACCAATCTCTACCTTCTCCCTACTGTTTACATGCCGGTGCGTCGCATACATTTGTACGCGCATTCCAAAACTTGTCACAAGTTTTTTTTAAATTATACTAACACAATTCAAGTAGCATTGTTTATGAAAATAAATCTCCGTCTGGAGTTGATACGGTATTCAGATTGTCGAGGAGAAGCAGCAGGGGGGGAAGATTACCCAGCACGCAGCTTTAAGGGACGGTTGCAGTTTGAAAAATCTGCATCCTACCCAACGTGTTCACACACTGTTGCATATGCAAGCCACTTAGCAGATCAGTCAACTGAGGACACGGCCGAAAATAAATGTGACCCGTTGCCTTCTAATGCAAAACAGCTGCCAGTGACCTGAGAGTGGCCTTCCGAGCTCTTTCAGATGCGCTTTTTGGGGCATGCTTGGCACTGACGTGCAAAAACAACCCTGTCCAGGACGCGCACACCTGTATACGTGAAGTAGCGTGCTAGGAATGGGAGCATAGAGTGTTGATATGCCGATGTACGACAAGACGTATGATGGAAGTTTCGGCGCATAGTACGGGAAGACTTCGCAGCCATTAGTTTAGAGTGGAGAGGATGAGCGATCTCGCCAAGAATGCGAACGGAAAATTGCTTGACTGTTTTAAAGTGTCTTTTTATTATAATATCAGCTAAATAACATAAAAAACACCGGCAGCTGAAGAGAGCATTCAGAGGATACGTTTAAAACTGAACATGTATTTGTTTAAATAAGGCTGGAAAGGCAACAGTTGTTTATCTAGTGCACCTCATTAATCCCTTGTCCCAGCATTTTGTCCTACGAAAACGGTGGCTATAGGGTTTTACGGATGGGGCATTAGGATACGCAGTGGAATATACTTTAATAACTACTATGTACAATTTTATTTTATTGTATTTAGAAATGTTGTTGATTTGTATCTTAAGATTTTCCTAATCTGTATTATCGTTTAACATATTGCGGAAAAGCCCGATTATAAACTTGTAGGTTTCTTGAAATTCCTGAAAAATATAAATGGTGGTTAGGAGGTCGTCTACCTCAACTTACCTGAGGTCCAACTTATTGTTCTGAAATTAGATTAGTATAGTCTGCGGCGCGGGGCGCCGCGCACACCTTCAATGTACACGCGGAACAACAACAAATTCGACTACATTTTTCCACTTTTCACTTACTTCAAAAAATTTCCTTCCATGCCCCTCCTATTTCCCCGCCCTCAAAAACTCTATAACCACCGTTTGCGTAGCAAAAAATGCTGGGACTAGGGGTATATAAGGTGCACTACATAAACTACTTTTGCCGCTGGAAAAATAACTGGAGAGCAGTAAAAATGAGGGGGAGAATACAGACATCTATAAATCACCAGATTAGGGGTTACGGTGTGCGATATGAACGGAGGCGGTGGATATAATGTAAAAGTTTACGAATTTTAATAGAGACCTTCAGTGTGAAGAGGAAAGGAGAGGTTAGACACCAGAGTAACGCCAAGGTACCGTAAAGAGGATACCTCATTGGGCAGAACGTTTATGGATTCAGGACTGGGAGACGGTCACAATCGAAAAACAGACTGGACTGACTTATGGTCGTTTTGTAAAGCATTTGCTAACGACCATGCTGAGATGTGGTCCAGGCCATCTTCCGGTACCTAGAGATGAATCTGACTTTTGAGAGGATGGCCAATAACCC